GGAGTTTGAAACACTACTAAGAGTACACCAACCAGATATTGTAGGAGTTGTAGAACTGTTGTACAAGAACAGGAGAATCGACCCAGAGGAATGTGAGTTCAGTATTGCTGGATATGACTCATTTACGAACCTAACTCAAGAATCCTGCAGGAGGGGTGTGGTTATCTACGCTAGGCAAGACCTTAGAGCCAGCCAGGCGAGGGTACAGGGAGAGGATGTTTTTGAAGAGTCCAAGTGGTGTAAAATTAAATTAAAGGGAGGGGACTTACTTATCGTCGGGTGTATCTACAGATCCCCAAACTGTGGCCCACTAAATCAAAGGAACTTAAGAACCTTAATAAACAATGCGGCGATGCTCAACCCCAGCCACCTCCTTATCATGGGGGACTTTAACTATGGCGACATCGACTGGAGAAACGAGTCCACCCCGAATGACTTGAATAATCCTGCTACTCTTTTTGTAGAAACTCTGAGAGATAATTTTCTGTTCCAACATGTGAGAGACCCGACACATTACAGAGGGGAGCAAACACCCAAGCCACTTGACCTCATCATAACAAACGAGGAGGGTATGGTGGCCAAACTGGAACACCTTGCCCCAGTTGGCACCAGTCACCATACAGTGTTGTCATTCAGATTTAACTGTTACCTAGTTCAAGATAAGGCCAGGCCAAGGTGCAAATATTACAAGGGAAATTACAATGGGATGAGGGAAGAGATGAGGGGTATCAACTGGCCTGACTTATTAAGGTACAAGAACGCAGACACTACGCTGAATATCATAACTAGTAAAATGACCCATTTGATCGATAAATATATACCCAAGACCAAACCCAGTGCTTCTAGGAATACGAGGGGATCCCTACACATGAACCATGCGGCGGTCGACAAAATTAAGAAGAAAACCCAGAAATTCAAGACGTGGGTTGGGTCAAACGATGAGCAGGACAGGAGGATGTATGCAAGAGCCAGAAACCAAGCAAAGATAGAGTGTAGGAGGGCTGAAAAGGAGTTCCAAAGGCTGGTTGCACGCGAGGTCAAGTCAAACCCAAAGGCGTTTTACCGCTATGCAAAGTCGAAATTGAAAACGCGAGTAGGAGTATCAGACCTGAGGCTTGAAGATGGTAGTTACGCAGATTCTGACCAGGATAAAGCTGAGGCATTGAACAGCTTCTTTTCCTCAGTGTTCACAAGAGAGGATGCAACTAACCTTCCTGCGTTTGAGGACAGACGGTTCGACACAGCACTGACCCACATTGTGTTCACAGAAGAGGGTATTAGAAATAAACTGTCCAGGCTAAAGGTCCATAAGAGTCCTGGACCTGACATGGTGCATCCTAGAGTGCTAAGGGAGCTGTGCAACGAGCTTGCAGAGCCCCTGAAGATTCTGTTTTGTAAATGCCTGGATGAACAAATGGTCCCCAGTGAATGGAAAGTGGCTTATGTGAGTCCTATCTTCAAGAAGGGCGATAGGCACTCCACGAACAACTATAGACCGGTGAGCCTGACCAGCATAATATGTAAAGTACTTGAGAGTATTATCAGAGATGCAGCGATGGAACATCTACTACGAAACAACCTTGTAAAAGATTGCCAACACGGTTTTATGCCGGGGCGCTCTTGCTTGACACAATTGCTCAAGGTATTGGATATTTGGACCCATATTCTAGAACGGGGTGGTAATATCGACAATATTTACCTAGATTTTGCCAAGGCTTTCGACAGTGTACCCCACGAAAGGCTGAAAATCAAACTGGAAGGGTACGGAATTCGGGGAAATGTCCTAGCGTGGATAGAAGACTTTCTACATGACCGCAAGCAATGTGTGGTGATTAATGGCACGAAATCGTCATCTGTACCTGTAACAAGTGGGGTACCGCAGGGTAGTGTATTGGGCCAGCTGTTGTTTGTTTGTTTCATAAATGATATGCCTGACGTTGTACACTCCTCCATACAAATGTTTGCCGATGACGCCAAGTTATTTCGGGAAATTAAGAACCAAGCGGACTGTGAAGAGCTGCAGAAGGACCTCTGTGGGCTCCAGGAATGGTCGAAGGAATGGCTGCTGAGATTCAATGTCACGAAGTGTAAGAGGATGCACCTGGGGCGTACCAACGGTAAGGAGGCGTACCATATGTCCCAACTGGATGAAGAAAATGTACTAGTTGAGACTGTGTGTGAGAAGGACCTAGGTGTGTATGTTGACAATGAGCTGAAGTTCTCGGGCCATTGTGAGAAGAAAGTAAATCAGGCAAATAAATTATTGGGTCTTATAAGAGGTCGTTCAGATATCTAGACGGTCCGTCCCTCGTGACGATCTTCAGGAGTGAAGTGCTTCCCCATCTGGAGTACTGTCACCCCATCTGGTCCCCGAGATATGCTAGGGACTGTCAGTTGGTTGAAAATGTTCAAAGGAGGGCCACCAAGCTGGTGCCTGCACTTCGGCATCTCAGCTACCCTGCGAGATTGGAGCGCCTGAACTTGCCTAGCTTATACTACAGACGGGCAAGGGGGGACCTAGTTGAGGTTTATAAGCATCTCAGGGGGCACTACTCAGTTGAGTGTCCTTACTTGGAGCTGGCGGACGCTCGCCCCACAAGGGGTCACAGCTCAAGATTGAAGAAGCCGCAAGTCCGGAAAACCGTGAGGGCAAACTTTTTCGGAGTGAGGGTTGTAAACTCTTGGAACAATCTACCAGAAAGTGTTGTGACGGCACCGAGTGTGAGCTCTTTCAAGAGAAGACTTGACCAACACTGGAGCGGGTTCAGGTACATTCAGGAGCCGGTGCATGCCCAGTATTTGCCAACAGTGCGTGACAGAGACGTGACCGATCGCCCGGGCGGCTAGCGAGCCGACCTTTTGGTGAAGAATATAAAGGAAAAGAGTCGTGACCGATCGCCCAAGCGGCTAACAAGCCGATCAGTGGCGAAGAGGATAAAAGTAAAAAAGTAGTACAGGTTTGTTCCACGGTAAAATCTTTTGAACAACGAAAGAAAGCGAAAGTCACTGTTTTCGTCATGATTTTATCCCACTTTCCACTGTAATACTTAAGTCATTTCAGCAAAAATATTACATTTCCATATTTATTTCTGAGAATATATTCATTCAGTCACAGTTAAGGTAAAATATACTTGTGATGTAATATTTTAATGAAAATACCCGGTATTTAGAAATACGGTATCGTAGTTTTCTTTTGTTTCAAATTTAATTAACAAAGATTGATGTTTCAAATGTAGTGAACAAAAATTTATGTATCTATAAATAAACTTTAAAAAATGAATACTTTATGTTTTACATCGTCCTGTGCTACCATGCCATGGATTTGGCTACTTTGGGCTTGCTATGATGACTCAAGAGATCTGCCCTGGCAACTGTACCAACACTCACAGCTGGTGGTGCGTAGTTTCCATTGTTTACTGGTAGTTACTGGTAAATATTTTTCAACCTAACGAGCCTATTACCCATTTAGAGGTCGACCCCCAATTTTTTGCCAAAAAATTTGGTCTTAAAATCGCGAACTACACACAGGTTATACGGTAAATAAGGACATGGGGGGCCAGGGGTGTTTTTAGGGGGGAGGGGCAGCAAAAATACGCGGATTTTTAACATTCACGGGTATCTCTGTTACCTAACCCCCGCGAATGTTAAGGGCCGACTGTAGTATTTATGGGAACGGCTAAATTTGCAAAAAAAGGATGAAATTTATAGAGTCCCTATCAAATAACACTTCACAAACAAAACACATGAATCAATTGAACATGTGATGTCGAACGTGAACTATAAACACTACATAACCCCGCGCCAAGCAACAGTACACTTAAAACGTTCGAGTGGAAGCGCGTTACAGCCAACATGCGTTCGCATTTTACAAATAACGTTCTTCTATTCATAAATCGCGTGATAGCCAATTCGCGTTGACAAAACACGCGTTGTAGCAGAAATGACTGTATTACAAATATGTGATACGAAATATATCGGTACAATGTATAACGAGGATCCCTCTATAGCAGTGGTTCTTAACCTGGGGGGCGTCAGTAATTTCCAGGGGGGGTGCAAGCCCTAGGGAAAAAGTAGGAATTTCTCTAATTATAATTATAGTTTTTATTCTCTTAACAAGAGCCTGGGCTAATATTGAGAAGGTTATGAAAAAATGCAAAAGTATCGCCTTATAACTTTAGTTTTCTATAGGCTACTTTTTTGACTTAGGGCTTACCATTTTCTGTACTTATTGACCCCCCTCCCTATCCCTCGAAACCCATGGAGGGGGGGGGGGGTTAACTCGTCCTGGACCTGTATACTGCTCGTTGGTGACTGGTGAGCCCCGTTCTCTCCCAGTCTTCTGCACACGTCCGTGGCAATAATTCCTCTTCTCTCACATTTATTCAGTTAAGGCTGTTGAGGTATGTTTTATCCCAGCTGTTATATTTACCTAAAAATAGTAAGCAGTCATAAGTTTATTGGTGAATTGTGAGCACGCATGTGTTGCTCTGTTGGTTATTCGTAAGTTTTGAATTCCGTTTGTATTTTATCAGAAGTTGGTGGTGCTTAAAATCATGTGGTGGTAACAGGTGGTTATGGTAAAGATATATTTATGATGATATTGATTTGTTTCTAAATAATCATGTGTTTATGATCATGATGTGTTTACTATAATGTTGTGGTGTTTGTTAATATTTGCTTAATAATTATGTGGTGGTGTTTATGATCATGTAGTGGTGCTTATGATCATGTTGTGATCATTGATGTTTGTTAATAATCATGTGGTGTTTATGATCATGTGATGTTTGTTAATGATATGGTGGTGTTTATGATCATGTATGATTGTAGTCACTTGTAGTGTTTACGAACTTTACGATCATATGTTTGTTATTGATCATGTGGTTGTGATTATCATGATGTTGTGGTGTTCATGAGCACGTGGTGATGTTTATCTTACCTTACACGTGCCTTATGTTTTGTTCATAGATTTGTGTTGTCCACTGCACATCAAATAATTCGCAATGAGTGCAAAGAAGCGGAAGTATCTTGACGAATATATTCGATTTGGATTCGTGTCGCTCCAAAAGGGTGACACAGAGGTCCCCCAGTGTGTGATATGTTACAAGACTCTGAGCAATGATGGAATGCGGCCCTCACGCTTGGAACGCCACTTGAGGACAACACATCCTGCTCTAGCTGACAAGCCCAAGGCATTCTTTGAAACAAAAAGACACTCCTTGAAGCAAGTTAAGTTGGATGGCAGTGGGGCATTTCGGCAACAAACTTCAAAGGTTGTTGAGGCTTCCTATGGGATCGCCATGTTGATTGCAAAGAGCAAGAAGAGCCATAACATCGGAGAGTTTCTCATAAAACTAAGCATACTCCATGCAGCAGAGCTCGTTCTGGGGAAAGACAGTGCAAACAAGCTTTCCCAAATTTCACTATCAAACAATACAGTC